TGATATAAGTTGTAAGGTCTCAAGTATAGTTACAACGGCTGCCCCACCCTTCAAACCGAAACGCATTACTGCTTCACGGCAGAAATAGGCAGGGTGGTGGTACCTACCCGTGCGGACTCACGAGAGGTCCTACCACCAGTAATTACGCAAATTATAATTTTGCGGGTTTGATTTTTATTACACGATGTTATTCCTTCACTGTGGAAGTCATCATCATCAGCCTTTATCTGCCCACTGACGACTTGTTCACGATTGACGTGGAAGTCAATCGTGAACATTTGTTGAGTACGTATTTCATTAGAAAAATTGGTACCCGCTTGAGATTCGAACATCGGTGCATCGCCTCAACACGTATGCACCAGACGTCTTATCCATTAGGCCACGACGACTACATTCGACGACGACGAACTCCACTATGGATGACCGGGCCGCCACACCACCCAACATCCCCTGGTGTGATAGCTCTCTGCCTGAGATCTGCTTTAGACAGTGTGCAGTCAGGCGGGAGCTGCAGGCCCTGGACGTCCATAAGTCGAGAGGGCCAGATTGCATCCCTGCAATGGTTTTGAAAACCTACGCCCCTGAGTTGACACTTACGCTAACGCGTTTGTATCGCCTCTCGTATAGTACTAACTAACAGGGTCTTCATGGAAAACCACCCACGTTCATCCTATCCCCAAGAAGAGTGACCAGTCGGACCCATCGAGCTATAGGCTTATCGCGACAACTTCCTTGCTTTCCAAGGTGATAGAGCGAGTAATAAATACACAACTCCTGAAATGACCGACAATACGGTTTCCGTCACGGTCGCTCAGCCGGCGACCTTCTTGTATACCTTACTTACAGGTGGGCTAAAGTCTTGGAGAGCAAGGGCGAGGCTCTTTCTGTGAGCCTTGATATCGCGAAGGCCTTCGACAGGGTCTGGCATAGGGCACTTCTGTCGAAGCTACCATCTTACGGTATCCCCAAGGGACTCTACAAGTGGATCGCTAGCTTTTTGGATGGGCGGAGCATCACGGTCGTTCTAGACGGTGGCTGCTCCGATACCATGACCATTAACGCTGGTGTTCCACAAGTTTCGGTGCCCTCCCCCACGCTTTTCATCCTGTATATCAATGACATACTATCTATTGATGGCATGCATTGCTATGCAGATGACGGCACGGGGGATGCGCGATATATCGGCGATTAGAGTCTTTCACAGAGCGCTGTGCAAGAGAGACGATCTAAGCTTGTGTCTGAAGTGGAGAGCTTTCCGGGGCGAATCTCCGAGTGGAGTGAATCGAACTTAGTTCAATTCAACCCATTAAAGACAAGTTTGCGCGTTCACTGCGAAGAAGGACCCCTTTGTCGTGGTGCCACAATTCCAAGAAGTATCCCTGAAACCTTTCACGAGTATCGGAATACTTGGAGTCGACATTTCGAGCGATGTCCAGCTTCGGAGTCATTTGGAGGGCAAAGCCAAGATGGCGTCCAAAATGCTGGGAGTCCTCAACAGAGCGAATCGATACTTCACGCCTGGACAAATACTTTTGCTTTATAAAGCACAAGTCCGGCCTCGCGTGGAGTACTGTTCCCACCACTGGGCTGGGGCTCCCAAATACCAGCTTCTTCCATTTGACTCCATACAGAAGAGGGCCGTTCGGATTGTCGATAATCCCGTTCTCACGGATCGTTTGGAACCTCCGGATCTGCGGAGGGACTTCGCTTCTCTCAAAATGTTGTACCGTATGTTCCATGGAGAGTGCTCTTTTTGAGATGATTCCGTCATCTCGTTTTTACTATCGCACCGCCTGCCACCGGAGTAGAGTACATCCATAACTACTTGGAGCCACTGCGTTCATCCACAGTGCGTTTTCAGAGATCTTTTTTTGCCACGTACCATCCGGCTTTGGAATGTGCTCCCCTCCACGGTGTTTCCCGAGCGCTATGACATGTCCTTCTTCAAACGAGGCTTGTGGAGAGTACTCAACGGTAGTCAGCGGCCTGGCTCTGCCCCTGGTATTGCTGAAGTCCATGGGCGACGGTAACCACTCACCATCAGGTGGGACGTATGCTCGTCTGCCAGGGCAATAAAAAAAAAAGGAACTTAATAGAACAAATTTATGATGTCTGCAAAGTTACCACTTACAATATTTTAGGGTAAACCTTAATGTAGATTTTTCAAAGTAGTTTTCTTTTTGTAGTAGTAGTTTGTTTCTCCTACTGAACAATTATGGCATTAAGTATATTATTTTCATAATTTTGATAATTGACTGCACATGGGTTTCGACAATTATAAGATCTGTGAATGGTAGTATATTTTGTCAGTAAGTGAACATGTCAGAAGTACACGCTAATGGGAGGAAGTCCGACGTTTGTAGGAATGAATTAAGTATACGGAACAATATACAGAGTTCCAATTTATTTCCAAAAAAACGGTAGACTTATCTGTAGTGAATTGATTAGTAATATATTTAAATATACGCGGATGGAGTAAGTACACCAATGTAGTTTGGTGGTCAAAAGTACTGCGAAGAATATTGATATTAGTATATTAGTATTTTCTAGGATATTGCGACAAGGTGAATTTCGAGTTACATAGTCAGTTTCATATTCGTTAATACGTTAATATACATGATTCATTTTGCTCTAAGTTTATTAGAAGTGGTGGTTGTCAGAAGGTTGGAAAATGAAAGGTTGCCAAAAGAGTTANAATTTTTTTTATTGATGATCACTTTGTTGGTGCAACTAAATAAATAAATAAATTAAAACTATATATAAAAATAAAATTAGTGCCAACCCTAGCAAATTTCTCATTTCGTCCCAATTAACCGCAATTTTCGGGTAAATAGGGATTACACCTATTTTTGCATTTTTTGCTTAAACTGGAATGCTACTTGCATAATTTTAAATTAGACAACAAAGATGCCCCCAAGACTCAATCATTTTGATCCTGATATAGCATTATATACATCAACAACTACCTTAAAATTGCTGATAAAGTTGGAATTTGTCCCTAATCGCCCCATTTTACGGTACTATAAAGGTCTATGAATTGATATGAATGACGAATGTCAAATGTCAATTGATAATAAATCACTGCTACATTGATAGCATACTTAGTGTCCTTGACTCCTTGTCCTTTTAGAAAACACATAGTTTACACTTACTCTGCGTGTTGTTCGACGCCTTATGATATCATTTATTGATTAATTTAATTATGTATTTAGTGGCGATTTAATTCATACTTTTTTGGTGGATGAGGTATAATTAAATCTTCAGTTATGACCAGTGAAGTCGATCCTAAAGTTGACATAATGTATGGATTGAAGACGGTTCTTTCACAAATTGAAATTGCCGTGGCCAGAAGAAGTAAAGTAAGTAATTAAATCTAATTACATTTATGTCAACAATGGGAGAAATATTTTAATGCAAGATAAATCAATTAAATTATAGTTTTTTTTATATTTATATATTGGTCACTGACCACTATAATACAGAAATATTCAAGCAACATAATCTTGAACTTGATAAACACTATTAGTGTAATCATTTTTAGAGAGAGAGAGAGAGAGAGAGAGTATTCTTTATTGTACACCAAAAAACAAATAAACAGTGCGATACATTAAAAACAAAAAAGTACAATTGGCAGTTTTAGTTTATTATTAAGTTTTAAAACCTTGTAACTTGGAAGAAAAGTAAATCAGAGAAGTTCTTCAAAATGTTGTGATTATCTGTATATTTCATATTATAGATCAAAATCCTCGATTTAATTTAAAAAAAAATATTCTAATTAATGTGAAATATTAAATTAACTCGGTTGTAAAAAAATACTTTTAAATTTCAGGACCTACCTCAGATAGCACCAAGATTGGTTGCTGTATCAAAAATTAAACCTGTCGAACTTATTGTGGAAGCTTACAACGCTGGCCAGAGGCACTTCGGAGAAAACTATGTAAACGAATTAAGTGATAAAGCCAGTGATCCATTAATACTGGAAAAATGTAAAGACATTAAATGGCACTTCATTGGACATTTACAAACAAACAAGATTAACAAACTACTTGGTTCGCCAGGCTTGTTTATGGTTGAAACAGTTGATTCAGAAAAATTAGCTGATAATTTGAATAAGCAATGGTTGAAATATAGGAAGGAAAAGGAAAGATTGAGAGTTATGGTACAAGTTAATACTAGTGGTGAACAAGGTAACGTAATTTACTTAATGAATGACACTTTATATCTTTGGCATATTCGACTTTATTTACTAATATGGATATTAATTGTAGCTTCTCTAAGTTTATTAGTTAGCCCATTTTACTATTATTTTATAGGTTCTTATTATAATTTTCACATTAAATGAGTTCCTACGATATATTTTCTGTTGCACCTTAATTCTACTGAATATTTAACAATTTAACATTATTTACTGTATATTTTATTATGAAATTGTGAATAAATTGTGATTTGTCATGGCCTAAAGCAGTCTTTCTCAAAGTGGGCAATAACGCCCCCTGGGGGGCGTTTGAAACCTAGAGGGGGGCGTTAAGGGGTCCAGGAAAAAATGGGGGGCGTTGATGTGGGTTAGGGGGGCGCTGTAAAATTTGTAATTTCATTTACTTTATAGTATTTTAAATTTTACTAAAATTAAAACTCACCTACTACACAATAACGAATAATTAGCTTATATTTCTACCCTGTATGATGTTATAAAAACTTAAAATAATTAACATAGATTTCGTAGGATAGCCCACACACCGTTGTAACAAGTTTCTACGGAACATGATTGATGATAGTTAAAAAATTAGAGCAATTTTACCTTAATTACATTGCACCAGAAATTATTTTAAACATTAGAAAAAAAACTACCATGCAGAGTTTTGAAATATTACACATACGTAAACTAACACAAATTGAGGTTTTCTTTACTTTCTTTCTTGTTTTTAACATAAGGGCATTTTAAAGCATTTTCCTAGCATGTTATAAGAAATTACTGATGTAAGAATCATAATTTTTATATAAAATGGAAATGCGTATATAATTATTGTTCAAAAACTTGTCTTAGATTATTATTTTTTACAATTTACCCATTACCGTCCAATGTCAAATAGTATAGTATAGTAAGCCTAAACAGCTCACTTATTGTAAACATTGTTTACTATTTTATTTCTATAAATATAATAATAGGTTGAGGAAAAAGTTTCTTCGCACTTTTTAAGAAAATTCACAACATTTTTTAATATAATTTATTCATATTTAACTAAAGTATGTGGTACCATTTTGTTCGATAACTTTTTGCCATCTTGTAGGTAGGGACATGATCCCATTGCTATAGAAAATTTGGGGCTTCTGATCAAAATACCGCGACAATTGGTTTTGGCAGTCCTCTCGTGATGTTAACCTGACACTGCCTAAAGAATTCTGAAGAGACCGAAACAGGTGGAAATCTGAAGGTGCAAGGTCAGGAACTATATGGCGGATGCATTAACACCTCCCAGCCAAGCTCTCTTAATTTTTTCTGAGTGGCTAAAGATGTGTGAAGTCTAGCGTTATCGTGATGAAAAACCACACCCCTTCTGTTCATTAATTCCGGCCGCTTTCTCTCAATTTCTTGCTTTAATCTCATCAGTTGTTCGTAGTTGAGTTCAGAATCGGTGGTCCTGCCTGGTGGTAACAGCATATAATGTATAATGCCCTTCCAATCCCACCACACACACAGCATCACCTTGTTGCGAGTTAACCCGGGTTTCGCCAGAGTCTGTGAAGCCTGACCGGCCTTTGACCACAACCTTTCTCGTACGTTCTTGTCGTACGTGATCCACTTTTCATCACCAGTTATCAGCTTCTTCAAAAATGGTTCGGTTTCATTACGTCGTAATAAAGAATCACAAATGAGTACACGGTTCATTAGGTTTCTTTCAGTGAGCTTTTTTGTGTACCCAGTTTTTTTCAAATGCGCCATAACTATTTTGTGGTCAATTCCCAGTTCTTCAGTTACGTTGTAACTACTGATATGCCGATCTTGCCCCACTTTTTCAAAAATGGCATCGATTTTATCCGTAATAAGGCGACCAGAGCGACGTGCATTTTTGACATCAAAATTTCCGGATTGAAAACGCTTAAACCAAATTTGTGCTACTCTCACAGACACAGCACTAGGTCCATAAACATCGCAAATTTTTTTCACGGCTTGCGTTGCTTTTTTACTTTTTTTGTAGTAAAATTTTCAAATGTATCGAATATCTTCATTAGATTCACTCATCTTGACAGTACGAAAAATAAATAAAAATCACACATCTTCCTAATTTTAATTTGGAATTATCTTCTTTCGAATTTAAACTTTTAATGATACCAAAACCAGCCAGATACAAATAGTATAGCTTAAGAGATTTTATTACAAGTTCATACATTTTTAAGCTATTGCATAGATTTTATCGCGGGCCTTGAGCGCGGCGACCGAATCATGAAATTCCGTAACGAAAAAAACCTAACACCCCTCACTCCGCCTACCATGTAGCTCGCGTTCAACACATTCACACGTTGCGCTTGTGTAGTGTTTGTGAATAAGCGCGTGGCGTGATGTCACACTGCATGCGAATCATAAAAAGTCTGCCCATCTCTCTCTCGCGCGCTTTAGCCTATGAGTGTGAAGGGGACAGTTAAGGTTTTGCCTTTATTAAGGTTTAATATAGCGTGGTCTTGTTTTATTATTGTTTTAATATTAAATTATCATTGTCTAATTATAATGTCATAAGTTGATAAAAAATGCTATGCAACAGCTTTACCGCCGCAGTTCCCGAGTGCCACACTTTTTTTTTGTCAGGTGGAAATCGCCGGACTTCTGCCTTTCACTGGGGATGGAGGGCGGTGCATGTCGGAATCGAACCGACTAACTAAAACCTCCTGTCGCTCAACAACCAGCATCCAAACCTCGCATGAGACAGAGCTCATGAAAAGGCAAAGGGGGGAAAGTGAAGTGTTTAGTGCGGAGCACATCTCTCCCATCACCCTCCCCCTCGGGATGCCGGACTGGCGGTCGTCGGCACCACAACCACCAGCCCTCTCGGTCGGCAGGCTGTCCGAAGCCCGCCTAGATAGCGCCGGTTAGAATGGTCTATCCTACGGAATACCCCGCTGGGTCAGAACCAGGGTGGGTTGGGGATAGCCGGCCTTCCATCACCCGGATGCTCATACGTAAAACGTATGCAGAGCAGCTTGCACGTCGTCTTCTTAGGCCCCCTTCGCCGGTCCCCAGGCCGACATGTGAGGGAGACCCGAAACACTTAGAGGGCCAGGGCTTGGGCGAGATCCGCCTCCCTGGACCCCGCTCGACGGGGGCGGGCCTGTACATCTCTCACGCGCCCCGCCGCCTCTTTTTGCGGAATGGTGCACTCGCAGAAGTCGAGCATCGCCTTCCACGACTCGTCGTCACCGAGCATCGATGCCAGAACACTCGGCAACGACAAGTCGTTTCCTATTTTTGCGACGAGGTCACGCTGCCACCCCTCCCATGCGGGGCAGGTGACGATCGTATGCTCTGCCGTTTCCAAGTCGCAACCACAATGGTGGCACTCTGCCGTCGGCTCGGCTCCGATCCGGTGTAGGAACTCACGGAAGCAACCATTCCCAGTGAGTAACTGCGTAAGCCGGAAAGTGAGGCGTCCTCTGTCACCCGATTCACAAGAACCGGGCGAATCGCCTCGACGGTCCTATGACCAGCCGAAGGATCGGCCAGCCGCCTGGACCATGACTCCAGCACGGACCGCCGAGATTGGGCCCTCCGCGCTCTGACCACACTGGGGCTGGGACGCGCCACGCCCCGGGCACGAAGGTTAGCCCGCCACTGATAGTCAACGGCGAGCGCCTCCGCCTCCAGGACCCAAGGCGGCGTCCCAGCCAGTACACACGCCGCCTCGAAAGAGATGGTGCGATAAACACGGATGATCCTGACCGCGATGGTGCGTTGCGGCCGTTGCAGCAACTTCGCTACCCTCCACGGCCAGTGACTGGCCCCACGCGGGCGCCTCGTATAAGGCCATTGATCGCACCACCCATGTATAGAGACGGCGCGTCACCTGGTCAGGCCCCCCGATGTTGGGAAGAAGCCAGCTTAACGCGCCGGCCACCCCCAACAAACGAGGGACCAGGTTCTGAAAGTGAACACGGAAGGTCCAACGACTGTCCAGAATGAGGCCGAGGTACTTCAATTGCACCCCCGACGCGATACGGACGCCCCCAACCGCGATATGGGCATCGACAGGTGGCACTCTCCGGGGCCTGTGGAACCACATGGCCTCGGATTTACTGAGTGTCACGTCGAGGCCCAATCTCCTGATTTTGCCAACGACATGCGCCACCCCAACGGTGGCATGACGAGCAAACTCAGCAAACCCCCCCCGGGACACGACCAGCGTATTGTCTGCGTAACAGATTACGCTTAGGCCCGGGAGGAGGGCACCTCTCAGTACCCAGTCATACCCGATATTCCACAAAAGGGGGCCGAGCACCGACCCCTGTGGAACATCGCGCACGACCGGGAGCCTGTGCACGATCCCACCGTGTCCAGTACACGTGACCGATCTGTCCTCCAAGTAGGAAGCCACCAGTCGGCGAAGGTATGGGGGCACTCCGTGTCTTACCAGGGGCATTTTTTAAAATAAAAGAACACTTATTGCGGCATAACTATAATAGTTAGACATATGCTGTCGCGACACTTTTTGTAAATAATAATGTTTTCTACAAAGTCGTAGTACATTATTTTATTCTATCATCAATAGTTTTCGTAGGTACGCGACGTAAAGAATATTTTAGGAATTTTTTTTTACACCTTTGGTTAAATTATTGGAGTTTTAGTAAGGATACCTAATTTTTTTCAAAAAAGATTATAGCCTATGTCACTCGGGAATAGTGAAGCTTCCAAACAGTGAAAGAATTTTTCAAATCGGCTTAGTAGTTTTGGAGCCTATTGAATACAAACAAACAAACAAATCTTTCCTCTTTATAATATTAGTATAGATATTAATTATTACAAATAATAAAAACGCTGACTTAGGCGGCGGTTTTTATTTGAACCAGTTCTAAATTATAAACTAAAATTCTATGAAAAATTACCCATAAATATAATACTAAATGATATTAGTTTATTTTTCATAGTTTCCTTCCTTCTTGCGTCGATAATCCTCAGTGCTGAGGGTCGTGGCCTCCTCTAATAACTTTCTCCTGCATCATATTGCGCCATTCCTGCCTGTGCTCGGCTGTGTGGATAGCAACGTGGACTGAGATATTGAGAGTGGAGCGTATTTGGTCCGACCAGTGCATTGGATTTCTGCCTCTGTGCCTTCACCCGCATACCTTGCCTGTTACCAGCAGCTTTTCCAG